TCCTTGAGAAAAGTTTTCAGATCAATATTATAACCACCATGATTTGAAAAACTGTTAGAATTTTCCTAATTAGCTCCAGATTTCATTAACAATTAAAAGAAAAACAATAAAGAAAATAGTAAAGATTCATCTAAAGTACTGCTTCTTCCCCACATCTTCAGTAGTTTTACCTATTTCCTGAGGTCAGATGTATGAAGTAGGTCCATGTATAGTATGTTTAAATTCCAAATCCTGATTCAATATTTTTAGAACCAGATTCCATTCTAAATATCTCAGATACCACACCTCATATTTTCATCAACCAACAACTGCTAAAACAGAATGTGCATTGTGAAGTTCCTCAAACTTCTATTTACATGGCTACTTACATAGATTGATTTATCTTTTCTTATGGATAAAAATGGGTAAATTAATCAAAAGTTTAATGATGACCCTTAATCAGAAGAAAACAATGTTATATTATGTGTCTATATAAGAAATTAGAGAGGCACATACTAGATCTTATATACATATGCATATATGTGAATACATGTTAAATTTAAATGATTTGTGAAGAAAAACTTTCAGTGCTTAATGAGATAAAATACAAGATAAAAAAAACATTTATGTAACATGTGATTGACTTCCTGTTGATGCTGTACAAGTTAAATTTATGTATAATGTAAAGGTATATTATGTAAAAGAAAAAAGAATAACTTTCTAATTTCTCACAGAGAATATTTTATATTTGCAATGAAAGTACCACTGAGATTTTAGATAAAAACACATGGGCAGAATTGAATTTAAATACAGCATTGACTTCCAGCATGTTTTCTGACTTTTAAAGGGCACATTTTGAAAAAGAGAAAAGAAGCTCTCTGTGATTTATGATGATTTTAAATGTCTTTGATACTTTTGATTTTTCTCCAGGGTAAAAGGAGAACATAGTTTGATTTCCAGGTGGGCCCAGCAGCTTCCAGGCAGGGGCCCTTTGAGGACTAACTCAGCGGGGTCAGGATGAATTAAAGAGGAATGACAGATAGATCTGTACTGCCCTCTGAGAGAATGCAAGTAAGAATTCGGTTCTGCCTATGCTATGCCGGAAGGCATATAACAATGGTCTCTACAGAGTTTTTCAGAAGAGATATTTAACTTAGGTACTTTCTATTTGAGTTCAGAGATATGGGTTTTTAGTTGTTGAGTTAACAGTTTAAAGGTTGTGCTTTTGTTTTATTACTAAAATAATTTGGGAGTTTTCTATTAAGGTATAGAAGTAGCATAAAGTGTTTCAACCACTGTTTAGCACACACAAAAAAAATTATTTATTTTTCCAGATTTGGATTCCTGGTAACTTCAAAATTAATTTAATAAATGGGCACTATAATTAACATCAGGATAGTTATATAGAGATGATAATTTTCACTTCAATAGCCATTATGGCTAGGACCTAGTATTCAATAACCAAAATGAATTAGGGGGCATCTCCAATTGTAAAGATTAACTTGAGTTACCTGAACAATTTAAAATCTGTCAATTAAGACAAGATTATCCCAGTTAAAATTTTTAATTAGATAGAATGCATTAGTAACACAAACTTGGAAATATCAGTATCACGTAAACATAAAGGCTATGAGAGCAGATGTTTTTGTTTTGTTCATGACTATAGCATCAGAGTTTAGAACAATGGCTGGCTCCTAGTTTTGGTCACTTGTTGAATAATTGAATCTGCATTACTTGACACCAAATCTCTAAGACAAAATTTTATTTTATTTTAGCATTAAATAAGAATTAAAAAATCATTAAAAAAGGTCCATATCTTTACCAATAATAGACTTTCAATAATATCATTTTTAATGTTATGAATAATACACTAAATAATTATTTTTAGCCAAATTAATAAAAACTTATTTCATATAGCTTGTTATAGTATCTCATTTTACCTTTAAAAGTAATATTATAGGAGCCATGTCTTAATTGTTGAATTTTCCCCGCAGTCTCATAAACTCAGAAAATATCTATGTCCCCACAATTATGTTCTGACTGATGTTTTAAAGAGCCAGCAAAGGACCAAATACTCTCCTTTTTTAAAAAAATTAAAACCTGCAAAACTTAATTAAACTTCTCCTAATTCCTCAAGAGGGCAATAAATAAAAGAAAATTTCATCACCACCTGTCCCCAAAATGATTGGACTTTTACATAAGCAATTTAATATTCAGAATCATATTGTTTCCAGTTATTTAGTATCTATAGTTGTACCATATATCAAATGCTTTTTTTTAAATATATTTTTTATTGATTTTTAACAGAGAGGAAGGGAAAGGGATAGAGAGTTAGAAACATTGATGAGAAACATCCATCAGCTGCCTCCTCCACACCCCCTACTGGGGAATGTGTCTGCAACCAAGGTACATGCCCTTGACCTGAATTAACTGGGATATTTCAGTCCACAGGTTAAAGCCTTGTCCACTGAGCCAAACCGGTTTCAGCCCAAATACTTTTCTTTCAGAAATATTTTTTTAAGATAAAAGTGGATGTAACATGGGTTTAAGAATCTGTTGTTCACCCTGGCTGAATAGTTCAGTTGACTAGAGCATCATCCAGATTATGCCATGGTTATGGGTTCAACCCCTGGTCAGAGCACATACAGAATCAACCAATGAGTGGATAAGTAATTGAATGTTTTTCTCCCCCCTCCCCACTCAAATCAAGAATTTTTAAAAAAGAATCTATTGTTCAGTGATCACACTAAATTTTTTACTTTATTGCTTTATAGTCAAAATGTAAAAGCAAAGTCCTCAAAAGACAATCCTATTCAGAGCAGTGAGATTTTCTTCTAACTAATTAAAATAGAGCAGCCCAAAGCTCCCTTGTTGCAGTCTTGGCAGGTAGTTCCATGAGAGGACAATGGGACTGAAAGTGAATTAGTAGGATGCATTGTCACCATGGCCATAAACAGTCAATTTAAACATTTAATCGAAGTATGCACTAGGGAGCACGACTGTCCTCAGAGTGAATGTAGTTCATGCCAAATTGATTTTGTTTATAATCTAGTTCAATGAGATGCAAGGGAACCCATTGAAAACCAGCTGCAGATAGTGCTGCCAGGGGGAACTTCTGTGATATATTTGACTTCCCTAATTGGAGTTTAAGACCACAGAGGAAGCATTTTTTTTGTGTTTTTTTTTTCTGTCTAGACTCAACATTATCTGACTGTCAAATAATCACCCAGGGAAGACTGAAGATTATAGCTACCCTCTTGAATTTACTCTTGAATATATTCCAAAACTAAACTATAGCCCTAAAAAAGTTCTTAAGCTTCATTGGATGAAAAACTTTGGAATACACTAGATAAATAATATTTCAAATTCTTTCTTACAAATGTTACTGACAAGGCAACCAGATCTCAGCGCTTATCTTTTTGAAGGAAAGGTTTCAATCATGAAACAAAGGGCAGCAAAATGAGACATTATTGGCCTCAGTAAAAATATACTTAGGACAGTGAAACAAGAAAGGGCAAAGAAAAAGTAACAGGAGAGCCTAGGCTAGTGCTTTGGCTCACTCAGAAGTCAGAGAAAAGGGGTGCTTTGGAGACAGGTTCAGGGGGTTAGCCTAGAAGGAGCTGCTGCTGCCCATTGTTTAAAGGGTTGCAAGTCTTAAACCCCATTTGCATTGCAAGTGTTTATCTTTCTCTTGAAGGTGGTAATCTAAGGGGAGGGTTTCAAAAGAATATTCATCAGCTTTCTAGGTGTGCTCTTTCAGGGTCATGGTCTCCACTGATTGGCCAGTGCCAGATCAGGGTTATTAGTCAATGGGGTTGGTCCTGAAGCAGCCAAGGTGTAACTTGTCTGGTTTTGCTGCTTTTCTGGACCTGGAGCTGAAATACAACTCCTAGAGGCTTAAATATTAACTTTAGTGAGGAAAAGGTCAGGGGGTCTAAACCATCTGACCAGCGATATGAAAGATCAGAGGTCCCAACCCCATGACAGTGATATGAAAGATTAGGGGTGCAAACTGCTAGGGGAGATATGCTAGGGGAGAATAAGTTACCCTGTGGCAAAGTTCTTGTTTTCCCAGTTTTGCCCCTTGCTAGGCATCCCAGAGCTTTATGACCTGGAGAGTTTCTGTACCTGGCCCATCATCCTCCAAGAAGACAAGAACCAAGGTCAAGATCAGTCAAAATGTCTATCACATACATCCATTGTTGTCCTCAAGAAAAATAAATAAATAAATTTCTGCTGGATTCTTTAGCAGGATGAATATTCTAAATATATATATTCTTTGATTTTGGTATAAATACCCTAGAATTTGGAGAGTTTTCTCCATCTCACGTAAGGGATGAAGAATGTTTCACTGACAAGGAGCCACTAGACAAAAAGAGTTATTCAAAGCAAAGCACCACACAGGAGCCGCACACCAGCCAGGTAACAATACCTCTTTCCCACACAGTAGCAGCAGCCTCTGTACCCACAGCAGCAGCCTGCTGGTCAGTCATACATCTTCCCCATAATGCAGCCAGCCCCATACTGGCTGATCAGTAACAACTTAATACTGTTTAGACAAAAGAGGTTTCTTGCCAAATAGTGACCTCAGTCTTTTGAGTTACTGAAGGGCATGCTTGCACACTGCACTTACAGAACATTGTGGCCTTGCTCTTGCACCTGTGTATAGTCCTTGGACACCAGGGTGTTTGTGCTGTCACAGGTGAGCATCAAAACTAATTGTATTTTTGCCTTTGGTGCTGGCAACTATTCCAGAAATATTTTATTTAAATGATGTATTTTATTTAGCTTAGTTCCAGAGACATTTTATTGCAACACATCTGGACCTAAAATTTTCTCTCTTTGAAAGATTACAGCTGCAAGAAATCCAACTTTAGATAAAGCATAACTTCACTATTATTAATTATAAATAGATAATATTAAAATATATTTTCAAAATCAAAAGGATAAACAAGTCAAATAAAGAAAAGAAATAGATTAGAAAAAATTGCTATCAGAATGTATAACATCTCAGATTAGAAATGAGTAGTCCTTTTGATGTGGATTCACTCCCGGACATAAAGCAGGTAATTAAAAAATAATGTATTAACACTTTTATTAAAATTCAAGACTTAATTGAAAATTACTGTGGGCTTCCCTCATGTCTTCTGAATACTAAACTATCACTTCTAGTCAACTTAAGATATCAATATAACTCAGAAAATGTAGGGTATATTTTAGAGAGAATGCTGAGAGAAGGAACACAGAGAAATCTAGCTTCTAACATACAAATCAATATGATAAGTGATTTTGGCTGCCTTTGAATTAGGTTTCTGTATTGGAGGAGAATTTTCTTCCCACTCAATTTAGAATAAAAGCTACGGAACCTAAAGAATTCAGATTTATTGATCTCCCATCTGGCTAATAGAGAGAAAATGGGAAATAAAAGGTTGGCTTTTCCCTTTTCTATTTAGGATATTTGATAGAAGAAAAACCAGATAACAGGAGAGTGGCAAATATAGACAAAATTGGAGAGAAGGTGTGTTATGTAAGGGAAGGTAACACCAACTGCAGAGTAGGTTCTCTTGCCTTTACATGCGCTGTAGGAATCTGTAAGCCCCATCAAAGAAAACTTAGAAGTTCATTGTTGTGAGAGAAAGGAAAGATCTGAATTTTAGATTTTCTTTTTCAGTGTCAGAAACACCATCTTACCTGAGCAAAGGAGTAGATAGACCCAAAGTAAAAACTGCCTCACAGAAGGCTACAGAGGGTGCCTCACTCATCACAACCAACAAATCTCAGAATAAGACCTCATACAGAGCAAGATGTTAGGTCACTACTGAGCCCCAATGAAGACCACAAGCCATACAGTGTCTCAGACTTTAAATGAAAAGACCCATGGACACAAAAAGTGCCATATCAAAGACTAGAAAAGCAAAATGCCTAGAACCACATTTAAAAATATATGTATCATCATGAGGTCTTCTCAGTTACCCTATACTCCATATAAGATATCATTCCACATCCAACCACACAAACATAGAGCTCAGCACACCCAGACACTTCTTCAGGGAGAAAACTAAAAGGATGAATTAGCATAACCAAAACATAGCAATTTTTATCTAAGAGAGACTGAACACTTAGGTTAATTAAATTTTGATTGCTTTTTAAATTTTATTTATTTATTTCCTTTAGCTAAGAAAAACATGGAGGCTTAAAATGTACATCAGATTACTTATAGTGTAAAGGAAATAAGTTTTATTTTCTTGGAAGATTCAAGTTTAATTTTGTTAGTAAAGTCATGCAATCTAGTAATAAAAATAATGTGAACTAATAAAGATGAGTGTGATAAGGGAAAATAAGATTGTCAAATTAAAAATCATGACAAAAGCAATATACAGCAGTAGGAAGAAGGAACATAAGCATCTACTAAATAGAAGATAATGCAGTAAAATTTCCCAAGAATTCGAAGAAAAGGAAAAGAAATTTTAAAAAAAGAAAAATAATGAGATGGAAGATTTATATGGAAGATTCAGCCCATGATTTAAAGAAAGTAAAGGAAAAGGGTGGACAGAAAGATCATGGAAAATTAATTAAAAGATCACATTTAAAGATCACATTTTAAAAAATGAGAGTTTCCAGACAACTTAAGTGTTACACAAGACACATTCTCCTGGAATTTGCAAATGTTAATGACAAAGAAAGATAGAATCTTGAGAGGAAAAACAGCCAGACATATATGAATAAGACTGGCTCATAAACTATCTAGATCATTAAACACCAGAATATAAACAACTACAGAACTCATAAGGGAAAAACATTTCAGCTTAAAATTCTATTCCAGCAAGTGTGTTATGCTCATAAAAGACATAAATTTGAGATAATCAAACACCCAATAAAAGAATAAAACATCCTTTCTATATAATCCATTTGAACACCAAGAAAGATAATTAACAATCAAGTTAGCAATTAACATTTCTGTGATTGCTATTAATTGAATATACTATTTATTAAGCATTTACTATATCGGACATTTTGCTAAGCTCTTCAACAGAGCCAATCTATTGTATAAACTATTTGTGTGAAAAAATTCATAACATTTTTAACTGTCAAAATATGTATAATTCTGAATGTGGATACATTTTAAAGAAGCAAATCAAATCTGGTTCATGACAGATGCTTAGAATTTAACTATGTGGAGAAGGAAATCAGTTTTAAAATTCTAGATATGTTATTTTGCTGTGATTTGTAAAACATTTCTCCTCTCACGGTGGCATTGCATGACTAATTACTGCAAAAGCAACATTTATAAGAACCTCTCTGTATGCTTCTCATAAGAAGACAATCTTTTAACTTATTTTTAAAATTAATTTCTTAACTAATAGTTTGGTAAAGCATGGCCATTTTAATTATTGGGATTTCGAAGCATTTCTGTTTCATTTACCTCGTCTCATAAACACATTATCAATCCTGCCAGAAACTTCTCATCTAGTTTGGTAGACAACAATAATACAATAAATGTATGAATAAAGAAATACATCACTCAGTGCTATTAGCTTTACAATGTGTATTTATTTATTTATAGAGTATACATGGTAAGGATAATAATTACTTTGGGTTACAAGGGCTGTAGTGTGTAGGGAAGAATTACTAGTGAGCAGAGAGAAGGAAGCTAGGTAGACGGAGGGGGGGGGGAGGACTATGGGAGAAGGAAGTAGAACAGGGGAACCCCATTAGGCAGAGTTACTAAGACAACCCAGCTAGGCAAGGAAAGAAAGGCATATGAGAGCCATGAGCTTTAAAATGTATGAATGTTACTAAGACAGGCAGCTTGCAGATAACCAATCACAAGGCAGTGAGGTATATAACCAATTCCAAGAATGTTACTAAGGCAGAATCAGGAACTAGCAAGTCATGTACCTACTCCCTAGATTTAAAAGAACATTCATTCATATTCTCTCTCTCTCTCTTTCTCTCTCTCTCTCTCTCTCTCTCTCTCTCTCTCTCTCTCTCTCTCTCTCTCTCTCCCCCCCCCCCCCCCCACTCTTTCTGTGCCCCCTCTCCAGCATACTGGGCTCTCATATCTCTGGATATTTATTCCCCTGTGTCTACATGGTTTATGGCCATATGGGACTCTACAGATGGACTAACGGACTTTAATGCACCTAGACTGAACTACACCAAGATGCAACATGGAAAGGAAGATCAGGACACTGGCCTGGCCTGCTTTTAGAACTCCAGCTGCACCTTTTCTGGGAATGACTTATCTCAATAAATTTTGCTACCACTACCATATTTTGTTGCAAATCCATTCTTCAGTTTTGCAAGACAATTAACTTGGACTCAAACATCTCACATATTGCTGTCACTAGGAGGCACTTTAATGAGGCCTTAAGTGTAGGTATAGGAAAATATAGAAGTCAAAGGTAATGTGAGCTAGCCAGACTAAGGGATGAGGAAAACTGAGACAGAATCAAAAGGTAATTCAGACTGACCTGAAGGTTAATCTTTAAAGTCAAAACATTCTGGAGTTCAAATGTCTAGTATTTGATTGTATTGCAAGCTATAACTAGCATGAGATGAAGATGGTGGTTATTTCAGTGTTAAAATCTAGTTGTCCCAATGACCAACTAGAAACAAAGGTCCATGAGAAAATAAAACATGACACCTGAATGAAGGGAGCCTGTTTATAATGAAGTATTAAAAAAATGAATAGATGGCATTAGCCAAAGCAGTTATATTCTGCTTGGTGAATGTCTTTTGGGCTTGCATGTGAGAAATAGGGGATGTCAAATACTCTAAAAACCTCTGTAAGCCTGCTATAAGTTCCATCACTGATTAAAATAACTGAATACCAAATGTAACCAACAAACTCCCTTTACATTTATCTGCTTCTTCGAATACTAAGTACTTTCTTATCTCCATCACTTTCAGACTTTCTCTTGCTGTGTGCCTATCTATACATATTCATCATGCTGACAGAAGAATCAGGTATAAGAATTCAGATAAGAAAACATGCTATGCACTGCTTTATCTTTTAAAATATGGGACACACATAAAAATAGACATACAAAGACGGCTTCTTAGAAATAACAATAGAAATAATGCACACAGTGTATCTTCATGTTTATCTTGGTAAGCACAGAGCAGTCACTCACTGATCATTTGAGTGGTGGATATTTTTTATTTTTCCTTCATCTCCTAAAAGTCAATAATAAAAGCCCCATCTACAAAATTCCTAGATCTACTGCCTATGTAATTAGACTTCTACAGGTTATTCCTACCCCACTGCCAGTGGAATGTGGCAGAAGAAAGATTGGTCCAAACACAGAGAAATACTTTTGAAGCCAGAGCAATTCTTAAACTGATTGTCTGCATGAGCCTTCACTGTACACTCAGAGAGAAACTCAAAGACAGGGAAGGAGTTCTGTCTATATTGGTGTTGATTCTACTATGACTGAACTTTTACAAGTACTGTTCTCTGAACAACATCTTAAAAAAGAGGGTTTTGCCTCTTTGCATTACTTGGTGCACTTCATTTATCAGAGACTAGTAAACTTCCCTAAAAACGTAACTATATGATGCCATCTGAAAGAATTTCTAAAGAAAAGATAAGAAATTTCTTCTGTACAGCCTTTTTCTGGTTAACCTTGGATTGTTTTATTCCAAGACATTTTTTCTTTCTTTCTGTCATTAACTATGTCATGGATTGAAGTAATAATTAGTTATTATTTTGAAGTATGTTCACTAGAAAAAGATATACTGAATATGTCTAAGAATTTTTAAGTCACACATTAGTTATTTTAAAATTTATATTATGAGCAAAATTTAATTTAAAAGTATCTACAGTTACCAAAGATTTGCTTTTTTAAAGCAAAAATAATTGAATGTAAATGCAAATGAGTTATTTGTCATTTAACCTTCAAGTTTATTTACTATACTCAATTAGAAATATGTATTTAGAGCTACACTCATAAACCATGCATGTGTAGTTTTGCCTCTTTCTAAAACAAGGAGAAATAGCTAAAAAGTATGAGCCTTGAACAGATTACAAATTCTTCTACACAGCTGTTGATTCTTATGAAAATTCTAGTGAGAAACTAAGAATGAAAACATGACTAAAATAATGAACCTTAATGTTGTTGCTTGATTTATTTTGTACACTAAGACATAATTGGCTTTCCTAGCAAACAAAGTAGTTCATCTCCTTAAACTAGATTTTCATTTGCGATTTGAACCCCAAGTCACTCCAATAAGACCTTTAAAAAAATGCATGCCCTGTCAGTCAACTTTCCTAAAAGTCAGGGCCTACAGGATTGACATTTACTTTTCATATTTCAACATCGCTGTCCTTCCTCCCCTGGCCTCCTCCCTTCCTTCCTTTTAACAAGCACTCAGGCAGAAGTACTCCAAAACAAGAGTCTCTTCAGAGAGAAACAGAGTCGCAAGTAAATGTATTTGCATATCAAAATGCTTTTGATGTCAAATACAAAATTTCCCAGAATATATCAAGAAATAAACAATATATATTCTACCATTGATGTATAGTCTTAGTGCATAAACTCTATTTAACATTATTCACTTTTGAATGATTCACCTAAATCATTATATATGAAGAATAAAGAGTTGTATACTAAAAAATAATGAACTCTTGCAGTGTTTTAACACTACTCCACACTCAGATTTTATGTTTTTCCTAAAATTGAGAAATTCAAGTTTCCCATGGTTTTGTCCTTGTGGCTACTGGAATAGTACACGTTTTGACATGATGTCCTTTCTGTAGATCGATTGCTTCATTGCAGTTATCTAGAGAACTAAGTCAATTCCCAACCCCCTGCCTAACTAATAACTGGTACTTGAGAAAAGCAGCACAGTAGACATAACCATACAAATGGGTTTAGATGGAACAAAACAATAATCAGAAAATAATTGCCCCTAAGTAGATAATGGTTGTAACTTGGATTCCCAAACTTACAGGTTATTTAAGATTTTCTCTATGAGATACAACTAATGTGTTGACATGGTGCTTTAAATGTGAAATTCAATATAAAATAGTGTGCACTGTACCTTATTTGTAGCTCTTGTGCATAGTATTCAGTAACATGACATTGCAAATCCCTGTAAATAGAACAAAACGGATGAGCCAAATTCATTTTCAGATTTGAATCTGAGCAAAGTTTTATAATTAAGGGAAAACTATTGTTATCTATCAATCATTTCCATATAATATCTGGTACTGATTAAATTTTAGAAGTGCTCTACATGTTACTATAGACAAAAACTAATGCAATGCTTGTTAATACCATTAAAAAAGAGTTGTTTCTGATTAAACCTTATATTAACAAAACTTTCAGGTCAAGGTAATGAATCATTTTGGAAGCTCATTCTTCAAATTTCACAATGAATATAGATATAATACATAAGAAATACTGTTGTTAAATTTAATAGATTATTTAAATAAACTGGAATAAATAAATTTATTCCAGTTTATTTAAATAATCTATTGTATTAAATTTATATATATATATATATATATATATATATATATATATATATATCTTACATGTACTCAATATGTGTATTTAGCAAAAAAATGAAATGCAAGGGTAATACATTTCACATTGCAATAATTTGGTATTTTGGAAAATATTGAAATGAAGTTTGGGGCAATATGACTAAAACAATAATTTATTTAGCATTATATTTCACATCTTGGTAAAAGTAAAATTCATTGTATTGGGTTGGAACAAAGAGATCTAAGTTAATATAAGATCACGTTAACAATATATTGTCTTTAAACCCCAAGTTTAAATCTTAAAGTAGAAAGGAACTCTAAAATAACTGACTTCTGTTCATATATATATGAGGTTTTGGTTTAGATAATGCATCTCATATAATTTTATATTATATTCAAATCTAACTAATGAAGAGGATACCTAATTATGACTTGTATCTTTGATTATTGCAGCCAGAGAAATTTATCTGGGTAGAGAAGTTGCTTTAGATTCCACAGTTAACAAATAAATGGCAAGGCCAATAATTGGTCTTCAAGTCCAGGTTACTTTCTCAGTTGTACATTGCCATGTTATAAAGACTGACACACTAAAATAGAGGAAGAATATCAAAAGCATTTCTTTTTTCCTTTCCCTCAAGCAAGGAATTAACAAAAAAGTTACTGTCCAAGCTGAACCCATGCTTAAATCACTCAAGTCCTTTTAGCTATTATTTTATCATCATAGACCCATACAAGCAATGTTGTACTCTTTTCACCAAAACACATAAAATCCAGGCTTATCAAATGAATTCAGTTGAGAAATTATGAGATGACCACAGGCAATGCAGTTTCCAAGCATGCTGCCAAAGAAACAAAAGCATGTGTTTACAAAACTATCCACTATCGACCTTTATGTCTAATGCAACAAGCTACAATAATTGGTTGATTTGGGGAATCATTTCTGAAGCTTTGCAAAAATTCTGACAATGTCAAATTATGTGCTAACCTATGAAATGCCAGGTCCTAGGGAAGTTATAGGTAGTGTAGGAAGGCAAAGCTTTTCCAGGAAACTAGGTCATGACATGTAAGAGAGTACTGCTGTGCTAGTAATCCTTAAGAAGCTGGACAGAGATTTCTTTCTGATATGAACATGAGGTAATTCCCTCCTATGGGAATAAAAAGTAGTGAAGAGCTTTGGCTCACACAAATATATTCTGTTAAAACTATGTTGCATTTGTATCATGAATACAGAATTCCTCCCTCTTAACATTTCATTTTGAACATAAACCATGTTTAATGCAGCAGATTAACAGATCTTCTTTCTAATTATGCTCAGATTTACTTTCTAAATATATTCAGATTAATCTAATATGTCTAATCCCATTCAGCTTCATTGTGGTAACAATGTGCAATCCCAAGGTTTACACAGAGGGAGGTCTCAATAAAGACAAAGGCATAAGCGGAGAAATAATTTCCTACAACCAAAAGTCAAAGTAAGATTCCTACCAGCATTAAACTGACAAACAACATGATATTCCCAAGGCAACAGGGGAGAGAAATCAACAGTGGATATTTCAAGAATTTTCCACATAGCAAAGAGAATCTTATGCCCCATTTGTAATTAAAATGTGGCAGAGTATTATCGATGTCCTTGAATGTCTGCACCAGGATTATTAAAAGTGGGGGATCTAGGTTTCTCTTCACTTAAAACACAGCCCTTGCCCATCCGACATGACTCAGTGGTTGATAGGACATCACAATTCGATTCCTGGTCAAGGTACATTCCCGGGTTTTGGCTCCCTCCCCAGTCAGGGGAGTGCAGGAGACAGTGGATCAGTGACGCTCTCATCATTGAAGTGTCTCACCCTCTCCCTTCCTCTCTCTAAAATCAATAAAATATATATTTTAAAATAAATACAACCCTGTCTAAAAGGAATAGAAATTGATCAGATCATCTTCATTTCAATTACAACAATTAAAATATACTTTAATTCCCAAACACCTATATTTATTCTATCAAAGTCAAGTTAAATTAAATGAAGACATGGAACCTGGTGGAGGGGAGCAACGGAGGAGGGGGGCGGGGGAAGAGTGGAACATCTGTGATAATATGAACAATAAAGATTTTTAAAAAAATAGATCTTGGAAGGTGAGGCAGCGGCTGGGGCGGGGTGGTGGGCTTGGTCCCGGGCGGTGTGGCTCTCTGGCGCGGGCCCCACTCTCCTCTCCTGCTCCGGCCTCCACCTCAGCGAGCCTGAGCAGCAATAGGAGAGCGCCAACCACAGCCACCCAGCGACTGAGACAGGACTACTTCGGATTCAGAAAGACCCGGTGCCTTGCATCTGTGCCGAGCCCCTCCCTTCCAATATTCTGGAGTGGCATTATGTGGTCCGAGGCCCTAAGAGGACTCCTTACGAAGGTGGCTATTACCATGGAAAACTAATTTTTTCCCCAGAGAATTCCCCTTTTATTAAACCTCCTAGTATTTATATGATAACCCCCCACCCCAATGGAAGATTTAAGTGCAATACGAGGCTTTGTCTTTCCATCACGGACTTCCACCCAGACACCTGGGACCGGGCCTGGTCCGTCTCTACCATCCTGACGGGGCTCCCGAGCTTCATGGTGGAGAAGGGCCCCACCCTGGGCAGCATAGAGACGTCGGACTTCACGAAAAGACAACTGGCAGCGCAGAGTTTACTGTTTAATTTAAAGGGCAAAGTCTTCTGTGAGTTGTTTCCTGAAGTCGTGGAGGAGATTAAACAAAAGCAAAAAGCACAGGACGAGCTCAGCAGCAGACACCCCCCGACCCCCACCCCCTGGTGCTGTCCCTACCAGACGTGGCTCCCGACGGGGACACGCACCAGGGCCAGCACGGGCTGCAGCTCCTCACCGGGCACACGCCAGGGCCCCACCTTGCGGGCTTGCAGCAGGCCAACCGGCACCACGGACTCCTTAACTTGTTTGCTATCCTTGGGTCTGCAGCCTTTGCCCACACGGTCAAGTACGTGCTGAGAAGCATAGCACAGTTGTGAGCTGCACGCCGGACGCAGAGTGGCCGAGAGCGAGGGACGGCCCAGCCTGACCTGGCTGGCTGGACCAGCCATCCACACAGGGCGGACGGCCCAACGCCTGGGGTTAGCTTTTCAAACACCATTAAGAGGAAACAAAAACCAGAGTGGGGGCTTGGACTGGAGCGTACACACAGTCCCGCCCACGCGCCCTGGTCTCGCTGTGGAGCTCGGGCTGCGGAGGGGGCCTCGCGCTGTGGTTCTGTACCTCATGTCCTGCATTGTCTTTGGGACATGTCTTAGTAAACCTGTTTTTCATTTTATAGATTTGATCACTTAAAATATAAACCTTGATGCCTAAAAAAAAAAGATTAAAAAAAAATTTAAAAAAAGATTAAAAAAAATAAAGACATGGCTTCACAAGTATATATATATATATATATATATATATATATATATATACACAAGTATATATATGTATATATATATACATACATACATATATATATATATATATATATATATATATATATATATATATATAACATGTATTTATCCTATATAATAAAAGCATAGTATACAAATTGTACCCTGGACTGGAGTTCTTCTGAGAGTTCAACCAGGGGGCAGGTTGGCCTAGGGAAGGGAAGGAGGCCCTGGCCAACAGCCGGCAGCCACTAGGGATCTTACTAGTGCACTAATATCATGCACTGGGCCTCTAGTGTGTGTGTGTGTGTGTGTGTGTGTGCATGACAGCAACAAAATATTTCAATTTGGGGGAATACGAAAGGGAAGGGGAAGGGGCACTGATCAGTATAAGTACATTCTGGTATAATAAACTACTAGACAACAAGTATGTAGTTACTGACAACTGTACATAGAATATTATCTTATCAGATATTTTTCTTCTGTCATATAAACATTCACTTCCTGTTATATGCATAGGAACAATGCTTTTTTTTTTTTTTTTTTTTTTTTTTTGCTTAAAAGTGTTCAAAAAGACACTATTAATCTCTCCATCTTGGAAGTAACACATACTCTAGCTTATACTGCCAGTAAAGCAGGCAGTACGTTATAGGAATGTGTGTTTCCTCACAGGACTCTTACGTTCTAAGGTGCAGAGAGCATGCCCTAAAATCAATGTCTCCTCAGAACCTCACATATTACTTGGAAAGTGGCAAGTATCTAATACATGTGAGTTCAACTGCAATACATACAGGCCACAAACCTAAAGGATCCGCAGGAGATCACTCAGCCTTTAGTTTTTTAAGTCCTGCTCTTTGTAAATAAACCATGATTCTGCATTCTCTTTCAGGGCAAAATTCAGAGAGAAAAGAGAAGAGGTGACTCCTTTCTATTAGTGTGCATTGGTTTATCACTGGCTTCCCACTTATAATTCAAATGCATAATTTTCTCTGTGGAAAATAGAATATAATTAACGAAGACTATCTGGTCCAGTGGTCTTTTGCCTTTTGGTCCACATGAACCCTCTCCATGGTTTTGGTTGTTACTGTTTCTTATTAAATTCCCCTGGGAACACTTGCTTCTGGTCATGATGTTCCCCCACTCTGAAATAAGTATTATTCATCAGACATCAGCCTGATTCCCTCCTCTTATTATTTCTTTCCATTTCACCTCCCAGTTATTGTGTACTTGACTCCATGTTTTTTCTTGTGGGAAAAGGGCTGGTCAGAGTACAAAAATAAGGCAGTCCACAATATGATGAGAATGTAAAAATAAACATAAGAAAAAAAATAAACAAGCAAACAAAATAAACATAAGCAAATAAAACGCATTTTTGAGTCAGATAAAAGGAGACACTCTATAAAGAATGGCCAGAGAGAAACAACATAAAGCAAGACTATATCCCAGTAGCCAAAGCAAAAAAAAAAAAAAAATTAGTATTTTAGAATATAAAGTATATTTAGTATGCTAGGTTTCAAACAGGAATACGGAAAGTGTCTTGAGTAAATACATATATACAAGCAATAAACTAAAAAAGATAAATATGTACAATGAGTATAAAGAATATACCGTATTTTTCGTACCATAAGACGCACTTTTTCCCCCCCAGAAGTGGGGGGAAAAAGTCCCTGCGTCTTATGGTCCAAATATAGCCTACACATATACTTTTAAAAAAAAGTTTTTTTACTTGCCCGGCTCTGTGTGGTCTCTGTGTGCTTGCCCGGCTCTAACATGGTTCTAATTGCTGCTGTTTACTTTACAGGGTTGATTACATGTGTTTATGACTGTGATGTTGGGTTTTAATGCACATAAAATATTTTAGGACACTATTTGTTTCAGAATCTTTTTTTCTTCATTTCCCTTCTCTAAAAACTGGTGCGTCTTATGGTCCGGAGCGTCTTATGGTCCGAAAAATACGGTAATTCAAGCCGAAACCGGTTTGGCTCAGTGGTAGAGCGTCGGTGTGCGGACTGAAGGGTCCCAGGTTCGATTCCGGTCGGGGGCATGTACATTGGTTGCGGGCACATCCCCGGTAGTGAGTGTGCAAGAGGCAGCTGGTCAGTGTTTCTCTAGCTCTCTATCTCTCTCCCTTCCTCTCTGTGAAATATCAATAAAATATATTAAAAATAAATAAATAAGAATATAATTCAAGTATAGTGAAGGATGGAAAGTGACTGCAGAGTAGCTGGAGAGAGTAAAATTTTCTAATCTCTTAAACACTTTAAGTAAATTATAACATTTTAATTAAAACAAATTATAAAATTTTGACCTACTTTGACCAGGTTTTACTCTGTTAATCATCTATTGGTCTTTAACTGCAGCAAACTATTTTTATAATAAAAATTATTAATGATTTTATTAGGACAGTGATTTTCAACCTGTGTGCAGCAAGAAGCATACCAGTATGGTGTAAGAATTTTTAAAACATGCAATACCTAACAATTTAGTCAGGGGCACTGACCTCTTTTCCTTTACATTGTCAAAAGAAAAAAAGTGACATGAGCCAACATAAAAAATAACTGTTCATTGTGAATCAAAATTATACCCATTTTTGACACAATAGCAAAACATGTTTCGCTTGTGATGCAGATTCTTAGTAATTAGTTCATGTGTGCCATGAGATTAAAAAGGTTAAAAATCGCTTGTATAGGATATAGAGTACATTATGTGCTAACCCTAACTTTAATAACATTAATTTCTTTTAACTTTTGTCCAGAACCTGTTGATTTCCTGTTTTGTCTATTATAATATAGTGAATGCCATTGCACAACGCCAAAATTTTAATATGTTTAAACATTATAACAGAAGTGTTCTTTTAATTAAAATATGTATTTGCCAACAATATGAAAAATTATACTGTATATCTTAAATTTATAGAATATCATATGTCAACTTATCCCAAAGCTGGGGGAAAATAACAAGATAAAAAAATCAGATATCGGATAATCTTTCAAAAACCAGGAAAACAACAAATAGTATTATGTCAAGATTGGAGCTTGACACAAAAGAACAAATAAGTAATATGGTTCCTGTTTATCCATGCTGCTGCAAAAGGTAAAATTTTCTTAATTTTTATGGCTGAGTAGTATCCCATCATGTAAATGTCCCACAGTTTTTTTAATCCATTCATCTACTAATAGGCACTTGGGCTGCTTTCAAATCTTGGCTATTGTAAATAAGGCTTCACTGAATATATATATTGAATTAGTGTTTCACATTTCTTTAGATAAATTCCCAGAAGTAGAATCACTGGGTAATAAAGCAATTTCATTTTTTATTTTTTTTTAATCCTCACCTAAAGTTGAGAGAGAGAGAGAGAGAGAGAGAGAGAGAGAGAGAGAGAGAGAGAGGCAGGCATCAGTTGCCTCCTGTATGCACTCTGACCTGGGACCCAACCCACAAACTTAATATGGGCCTGAGTGGGAATCAAATCCACCACCTTTTGGTGTATGGGACAAAACTCCAGCCCAATGAGCCATCTGGCCAGGGCCCATTTTTTATTTTTTGAGGACATTACACAGTGCATTTCATAGTGGCTGTACCAATCTACATTCCCAACATAGTGCACAAGGGTTCCCTTTTCCCCACATCCTTATCACCATTTGTTGTTGATTTGTTAATGATTGCCATTCTGAGAAAGGAATAGAAAAAGAGAGAGAAAGATGCAGACTCAGATTCATCTTATCTTTGACAATCTTCCAGGTGTGAGGAGCTATCTCATTTTGGTTTTAACTTTCATTCTTCTGATGATTAATGATGATGAGCTTTTTTTCATATGCCTATTGGTCATTTGTATGTCTTCTTTGAAGAAGTGTTTATTCAGGTATTTTGCCCATTTTTTAATTGGATTGTTTGTAATAAATTAACAAGCATTCATTCAAAGGAGGAAAGACACAAAAGTGAAATAGAATTATTGTCTGGAGCTAGACTTTATGTGTAAATTTAATTAAAAAGTATTTAACTTGCAGAGTGACCAAAGCAATTTATAAAAACAATTCTTGATAAAGAATAAAGTTCTTGCTAAATAATAATAAATACAGTTGTGCATATTTTGCATTGATTTTTAAAATCTTTCATTAAAACATTATTTTTTAAAAAGTTGAGTTCTATAAAGGAACTTTTTATATTATCAATAAAAAGAGAATTGTTGATTACAAAAGCCATCACACATGATTCAATAAGTTTAGGGATGCAGAAAAGTCTGCCAATTGTGGTTATAAAACTAATTGTCCCCTTTAAGGAGATTATGGTATTTAGATAGTTCTACAATACATGAAGAATGAAGTGGCATGAATTGCTATGTGTGAAAAGTTAAAACTAACCCTATTTACCATCATATCCTACCTGTTTGCACAGTATTTCTTTCCCCATTTTTTAAATAAATTGAGCTCTTAACTTGTGTTCTGGCATTAGGGTACATTTAGAATTTGCACACTGCTATATATTGAGTTTCATTTTGGTACATTTCACTTTGGTGTGGCATTGTGTGTGAGAAAGGGATAGAAAAAGAGAAAGATGCAGACTCAGATTCATCTTATCTTTGACAATCTTCCAAATCTACTGAAGGTTTATCAGTTTACTTTTAAATGATCTTCCTTGTAACCATCACTAGAAAGTCCAATTATCCAATTAAGCATTTGGAGTAAAATATATGGCCATTAAAGATCCATATAAGTACTAATCTAGAAACT